ACACACACACACACACACACACACACACACACACACACACACACACACACACACACACACACACACACACACACACACACACTAACACACACACACACATATATATATATTCATGTAATCAAGTCTATAAATATGAAGCTTAATTTGATATAGAAGTACAGAAGTACACACACACATGTACGTATGATAATTCATTCATTCATCAATTCATTCATTCATCAATCAATTCATCATGTTTGTATGTATGTATGTATGTATGAATGACTGTTTGTTTGTATGTATGTGTGCATGCATACCGTATACAATACACACGTATGAATATAACAGAGGAATGACACATAGAACAATATGAAAAACATCAAACACACTTGTATGTACATCAGCTCAGAAATAAGTTTTATCCAGTGAGGAAGGTTAAATTCAATGAATATCTCAAAATAATAAGTTTTTAATATTTTTTCAAAAAATAAAACAAAGAGAAGAAAATAAATTTCATAAAATAAATAAACATAAATATACTACAGAATCTCAAAAAATTGATAACTAAAAAATACAATTCATCTCTTATATCTCTTTCTCCCTTAATTAACTAATTAATAAGTGGATGGAGTCAAAATAAGCCAATCATTCACAGGCCAACATCAGGATTTCCGTTCATTATCATAAATTATGCATAGGAAAATTGAAATAGTGGCCATTGAGCGGATCGAAAGACGATCCAGTCGAGGGATGCTGTTGATGATTCATCATCATGATTGGATTGATTGGCAGTTCCTGACTCCTCCTACCTGAATAATTATGGTGTTGATGCTGTTGTTGCTGTTGGTGGTGGTAGTAGTAATCCATCATTGAATGTTGGTAGTTGGGTGCTTTGTCGGAGCCGTGGTCAGAGAAGATGGAACCGAATGACGAGTGTGGATGGTGGTGGGCAGGATTCATGTTGCTGTGGAAATTTGAAGAGTTGCTGCTGCTGTTGTTGCTGCTACGATGTGGTGGTTGTGGCTGTTGTTGCAATCTAGAATTCGTGTAATCGGCAGGGTACTCCAATGAGGATGAAGATGATGACCTGTTATGACCATTGTTGTTGTTGTACGCTTCTTCCGAATTTCTGTGGTGCAAAGTTTTTGTCATCTTCGAACTGGATTGGTTCCTGCTGGCAGGCATTGCTGAATTATGGAAGAAGTTAGGGGAATGAAAATATGGCGAGATGGAATCCTTTGAAGCTGTCGGTCCAATTCCTCCAAGGCTTAGAAACTGACTCATGTAATGTGGATCAAAGAATGGGTCACATGCCATTGGGGCTTGTTTTTTAGGCTGTTGTTGCTGCTGCTGCTTGCTTAGTGCAGCAGCTGGTGATGAGGAGGAAGATGACGACGATGGGCGATCGACACTGCCGCTGTTTAAATTGAAATTGTTATTACTGCTGTTGTTGCTGGCATTATCGTGGTGCTTGTTATTATTACACGACGGCAAGCTTAGTGCGCTGTTGTTATTTTTACCGCCACTGTCGTTGCGTTGGTTGCTGTCCACTACCATACCAAAACTTCGACCGCCAAATGGGCTTGGAAAGGCTGTGGCACAATCCCTCAAAAAATTTAGGGGCGTGTCAAATGGTCCAAACCTATTTGCAGTCGTCGAATGAGCAAACATATCGAAATTGAACTGGTGGATGTTGTTGTAGTAAGGATAGTAGGGATGTGCAAACGCATGGTGCTGGTCGAAGTTGTTAGTGTGGCTGTCGCTGGTGGTCTTCAAGTGGTCATCATGAGATGACGTCGATGACGACCTCTGTTTGTTGTTGTTGTTGTTACTGCATTGTGGTTGCTCGCTCTGCTGCTTTGATTTCATGTTGTTGTGGTTGTTGTTGGTTTTGTTTGCAACTGATGTCAGGTTGTCGTTTGAGGCTTTGCTGTGTTTGCACGACGGTGGCTGTTGTTGTTGCTGTTGTTGGTGGCTTTTGTTACTTTTTACATTAACATTATTATTAATGTCATTCTCGCTATTGTTAACATTATTAATAGCGTTATTGCTATTGCTGGTGTAGATGTTATTACTGTGATAATTGATGTTATCATTGTTACTGTGATTAACAACGGTGCTGTTGGTTGAGTTGTTGCTTCGATAGCTGTTGTTGTTGTTGTTTTCGTTGATATCATAATGTAAGATTTTATTACTATTACCAGTTGGATTGATGTTAAGATTGTTTGTATTGTTGCTATTACTACAATTGTTGTTATTGCTGTTGTTGTTATTATTATTACTGTTGTTATTGCAGTTGTTGTTGCTGTTGTTGTTTGTAGTTGTCAGATCATAACAAACAGGCGAATCACGATTTCCTAAAATTTATAAATTTTTATGTTACTATGAAAAAGTTTAACACACAAAAAATCAACAATAAAATAATAATAATAATATATTATGATTATTATTATTATCCAGTCAAATAAAACTAACCAATACCCTTAGAACAGTCAAAGGAATTTTTATTTTTTGAATTATCTTGGGTAGATTTATCATCTTTTTTACATCTATTTCCTTCCTGTTTCGTCCTAGCCATCTGGGCAGCCATTTTACTTGACACTCTTGATGATTCAGCTCCTATTATTAATTATAATTAATTAATTAATTAATATTTATTATTAAATTTTCTCAACAAAGACATCAAAGACAGACTTCATTCTTTAAATTTCTCATTAAAATAAAAAAAAATTTGAAAAAATCTTAAAAGCAAAACTCTACAAAAATTACCTAATTTCGTTGGGGCTATGACATTCCTCGCCAGGGTCACCAAATTCTGGTGATGAGCCGCTTTCATTTTCACATTCGAATTTCCATTACTTTCACTTTCAGTTTCACTACTAGCAGCAGTGACAACATCGTTTTTAGCGGCGTTAATGTTAGAAGCGCTAGTAATGTTAGTATTATTATTGTTAGCGCTGTATTCTCCATCCTGCATACTCTTGTTTTGACTGCTTATTTTATTATAGTTGGGCTGTTTCAAAACTACATATGGCTGTTTTGCTACAGGATTGTCGGCGTTGTCGTTATCATTGTTGTTATTGAAGTCGTTGTTACTATCAATTTTGGGATGTTGGTCGTTATTAATGTTATTGTTATTGATGTAATCCTGGCCGAGCATATTGTAGTACATGTTGTTGTTAAGGTTGTTAATGTTATTTGCCGTTGTTGTCGTTATAGAGTGCGATGCGTTGGTGTAATCAGCTGACATTAAAGTGCTGTTTGAAGAAGATGTAGTAGTTGTTGTTGTTGTCATGGTTACAGTTGATGTTTTGTTGGGAAAAACAGTTTCTACAGAGAAATTTGATTTGTCAGCTGTTCGTTTAATTTTCATCGTCAATGGTGTATCTTTGGTAATTAAATTATCCTGGGTGTTTTTGAACTTTTTGAATGAAGAAGTTGCGTCATTGTCTACGTCATCTTCCTGATCACAATTGACAATTGCATCATCGCAAGCCGCATTTCTATTGTTATTAACGTTACTTCTTTTGTTATTTCTCTTATTCGATTTCTTTTCTGTTTGAGTTGCCATTGACGAGGACATATTTTCATTTTGACTGGTTGTAAGAAGATCTATACTTCCCACTTGTAAGGGGTCATGAGATGGTAATTGTGAAGAATTAATGTTATTGATGCCATCATCGTTGATGTTATTGTTGTCGTCATTATTATCACTAGCGTTATTGGTTTGTAGTAGATGTTGTTGTTGTTGCTGCTGCTGTTGCAGCTGTTGCATTTTCTTCTCCAGCGACTTTTTTAATTTTTTTTCTTTCCTCAATTGTTTCAATTCCTGCTTCAAAGTCTGGGTTCCTTCGTCAAATGTTGCACTGTTGGCGCATTTAACTTCGTCGTTAGCATTATTAATGTCGTTGCTGACAGTTGAGTGGTTGTTGTTGTTGCTGAAATTATTTTCAGTGACATCAACAACGACATTTCGGTGGTCCACATTTTCAACCAAATAACTACTGCTATATGCAATAAAAGCAGTGCTGCTACTGTTGACAATAGCATCATCAGTTGTCATCTCAACATCCGTAACATTATTATTATTACTGTAATTATTATTATTATTACTATTGCTGTAATTATTATTATTTTGGTTAATATTACTTTCTAAATCATAATTTCTTTCAATGGAATTTTTGACTATATCATTACCTCTACTCTCATTAACATGGCTACTTATATCGATGGTAACTCCAGTTGCTGAAGAAATAGTTGAAGAAACAATAGAAGTAGCAGTAGCAGTAGCAGCTGCAGCAGCAGCAGCAGCAGTAGTAGAAGTATTAGTAGTAGTAGTAATAGCATCAGTAGCAGCAGCAGTCGTATCAGTAGTAATAGAATTAGCAGCATTAGAAGCCCTAGATCTCCTTCTTGAGCTAGCATCAATACCATCAGCTTTATTTCTATTTCTACTATTATTACCATTGTTATTGTTTTTACTTCTAGAGTATCTCTTCTTGCCAGCTGGTGTGTCCTCTGGTTCCAACCACTTCAAACTGGGTAGTGGGACTTCATCTGTGATGGTGTTCGACATCGTCGTCGATGTTGTGGATTTATTTTCAGCGAGATTTGAAATGTAGCTTCTTGTTACAGCTGTATGATCGATGTTGTTGCTGTCATTACAGTAGGCTGAAATATTTTGAGCGTGAAGTTTCTTAACTGAGACACACAATTCTTTGTTGTTGAAGGTAGCAGAGCAATCCAATTTATCTTTCTTCCTTCTAGGGGTCCTCATAATCGTTTTAGTAGTTGGCGTTCTTGGCGTTGTGATAAAGCTGATGCCGCTGGTAGTGTTGCTGTTGTTGTCAACTTCATTTTCTGTAGGCTCAAATGCGTAGACATCTTCCGAAGATTTACTGTTAGCAATATTTTCTGCATCAACTTTGCTCTGTGACCTGGTTCTTCGTGAATTTTTCACGGGTGTTGGTGTTGAGACCGTTGCTGTTGTTGTGGTTGTTGTAGATAGTGCTGTTGGTGTTGGTGGCAGAGGTGCAAATGTTGTTAGTGTTGATGAAAATGGCGTCGATGTTGTTGTTGCCATTTGAATCATTTCACCATCTGAAATTAATTATCATTGGATGTTTAAAGATTTAAAGTACAGTAAGTAAGTGACAGCAGTAAGAGTATGCAACTAAATAATGTAACATGCAAAATAGAGACACAAAAAATAAAATTACCTTTGATTGGCGTATCACAAACTCCTCCCACCTCATCTTCATCATTAGGCATCTGTGAGCTGCTTTCAAAATATTGCAAAGTCTTTCGCGTTGATTTTCGACTCCTCGAAGATGATTGCTGGCTATTTTTAGATGGGGCTAGAGGTTCCGGGGTGGTAAAAATAGAACAAGAGGACGTTGAAATAGAAGTAGCAGCAGTAAGAGAGATGGAAGTAGTGGTCATAATGTTGGAAGTCGTAGCCATGACAGCAACAAAAGTATTATTGTTACTATTAACGTTATTAGTATTATTAGTAGCAGTAGTAGTATAATCATCATTATTATTTATATTGTCATTAATTGTGTTAATTGTTGGAGTTGGAGTCGAATCGGAACTTGAATAAGTCAAAGTCAGGTCATTTTGAGGGGTTTTGAAATCATCATTAACATTGTTAGACTCAAAGTTATAGCTGTAAGCCTTCTTCTTGCCAGCGTGAAAATTGACAGTCGGTGTGGTCATGTAAGAATCATTCAGACAGTTAAGTTGGTGGTTGGGGGTAACCCTGCCCGATTGATCAGAGGGCCTCGGAGTCATCGGCTCCATTCGAATTAGGTCAGAAAAATCAGTGATGTCTGATTCTACGTTGTCATCAATCAACGCGTTGGTCAATGTTGTAGACGAGGATGTCATTATGGACGAGGCTTGCAGTGATAATGATGGTGAAATAGCCGATGATGATGATGATGGCAAGATAAAAGATGCGTCACTATGTGAAGCCATTGAAGATGATGTTGATGCTAGGGTAGCGGTTGTTATTGTTGTTAGTGTGTTGATCACTTGCTGAAATGACATGCTGTCGTTTGTTTGATTGCTTGTGGAATAGAGGTTATTATTATTACTGATGTCTGCAGTGGCATCAACGTTCACTTTCTGATTAAAATAACTGTAACCAACTGTCTTCACAATTTTTTTCTTGTTCTTGGCATTAGCAACAAAATTTTCTGGAAATTCTATAACCTCACTTATTGCTGGCTGGTCTGTCACTGTCAGTGGTCTCTGCTTACGTTTTCTTGGTTTCTTTGTGGCCACTTTTGCAGTTACTGGAGCGCTGATGTTGTTTGTTGCAGGCAGCAATCCTGTCATTGTTGTTGATGGTGAAACTATGCACTTATCTGCAAGCAAGGAAGTAGACGTCGTAAGGGAGGAACTACTGAGTAGCTGATTGACTGAAATGTTGCCAGCACTTTGGAATTGATGACTGTCAACTGCGACATTACAGCTTCCATTATTCAGCAAAGCTTGAAAGTTTGTAGAACCATTGAAGTCTGATGTCGAGTAGTTGAGCTCTGAAGCCGTCTGATTGCAGTCACTTGTAACTTGATTGGAATTAGCTGCTGAAGAACTGAGTGGTAGTGTAGCAGTGCTACCGAAACCTGCTGCATCAACATTAGCAGTGTTGATAACTGCAGAAGTGTTATCCAATGTGGATGCAACTGTGGCAAGGAGACCCATTCCTGAAGCTGAGCGATTGGCTTCAACTGAGGTCTGAACAAAATTAGAAGCTGGCTGGTTGAAATCGGTGGTTGAATGATTGAAGCTGGCATTTGAGTGGCTGAAATCTGTAGTTGATTGATTGAAATTAGTGGTTGATTGGTTAAAAATTGAATTTGAACTCGTGGTTGATTGACTGAAGTTATTAGTGGCTTGATGATCTTTAACAGGTGATATACAATCATTGCTGAATATGGATTCTGCAGCTTGAGCTAATATATCAGAATTTGAATGTGGCTGCAGATGTTGTTGCTGCTGGACGTTGTTCACGTCGAATAGCTGCTGCTGCTGCTGCCGATCCATCACTATCTGTTGTGGCTGTTGTTGTAACAGCTGTTGAGTCGGCAGAACTTGCATTGGCAACATTTGTTGTTGTTGTTGTTGAGCAAGTTGTTGTTGGACCACATTGAACTGTTGTGGCAACATGGACGGTATGTTGGGAACATTTTGAAACATAGGAGTCGTCATTATCAAACCATTCTGCTGCTGCTGTTGTTGTTGCAGTGGAAGGAAGCCGTTCTGTTGAGACAATAAAAACCCGTTATTTTGTGTGGCGGGCATGGTTGCAGGTGCAGTCATCGGTTTTGGCATTATAGTTCTCTGACTGGACTTGCCTGGCAACAATTTGTTGTCAGGTTGCTGCAAGGTTGAGTTGGTGCTTGTTGCTGGAAATGTTAGAATCACATTCCCATCAGCAGTCAACATGGCAGTCATGGATGCTGGCAGTTGTGCGTTGTTGTTGTTACTATTATTACTGTTGCTACCAAGACTGTTGTTCAGTTTCTTTTTCTTGTTGACAGCTGTCTGCATAGCCACATTATTAATTGGCTTAGCAGCAATTGGAGTCAAATTTGAAGTAACATTACGAGGTTGGCCATTATTTGAAACCACCAACCCACCAGAAACTGAGATGCATTGCTGTTGTGGGAACAACAGATTTGGCTGGGTGACCACTGGGACAATTTGGCCATCTGGCAGAATGAGGGCCTGTGGATGTTCATTCTGTTTGGTGGCACTGCT